CCAAGGCGATCGAAGCAGCCGCTAGACCAATGAGTCCTCCATTACGGGCATGTGGAAGGTGCACAGCATAGGCATAGTCGTGACACAACTGATCAATCGTCTTCCGGATCTTGTCATATTCTTTGGCGGCACTAGCCTCTCGGATGAAACGCTCGAGCCTTGTGGGAATCAGCAACAGTCACGAATATCTCGAATTTGTGGTGGAGTCATACTCGAGGGCGCCCTGCTTCCTTTTATCGTAGAGCTTGTCAGTAAGCAGCCGTTGAACTGCGGGATCCATGGCGTTCTGTGGATTGAGTGACGCGGGTCTTCAACACCATCATCGGATGTGCGTTATACGCCCAAAGTGGCAACAAGGTTTGTGGAGGTGGAAAGGCCAATTTCCGGTGCAACGGCGACAGACTCTGGTCCCAAGAGGGTGTCAGACAGTCTGCTCAGACATTAATAGTGTAGAGATGGTTAGATGGGCATTGTGAGAACCGGAGTGAGGACTTGGGAAATAGGGTGGTTGATGAGAAGAGACGCGTCGTTTGGTGCAGGTCCAGATGCAGGTCGAGTTCGTGGGGTCCAAACGAAAGTTTTTGGCGTCGCTGTCACCGTCACCGTCAGTCACTCACTTTCCCTTTTTTTTTCTGCTGCAGCCACCACAACCACTCGATTGGGTCACTGGCTGAAACGGTCATTGCAGGGATTCGTACTTGCTTTCATTCGCCAGGGTTGCCCTCCAGTCTATTCACCTGCGTGCCCATCCTTCATCCTTGCTCACGCGAGCTGCATCCGCTATTTGTGACCTACCGCCGTCCCTCCTTACAAATGGTTACAAGGCACGCAAGGGAATAATGCCACCTACAGTAACTACCAAGTACAATCACCCAATATTCGACCAATCCCACTCAACCCTCGCAATGCTGCCTGTAGCAACTTGGCAAACCATGCTTAGTGGCTGATATACTGGAACACCGCACTCACTGCCTCTTCCGACGCCTCTTGTCGAAGCAAGAGGTCTTGAATCTTGCCGAGAGGGCCCTTCTCTCCAGAGTTGACGAAATGATTCCAAGAGCTTGTGTCACCGTAAAGCATGGCTGGCGCCTTGATTTGTTGTGTGCCGTCTGGTTTGCACCGTTTACATTTGAATGTGTCATGGGTGTCACTGGTGGTATCCGGTTTGAACTGGAACAGCTCTCGCAAGGAATCGAGAGTAAAATGCCGCTCGACATCTTCCGCCGAATCTACCACTGTCGACGAAAGGGCCTGCTTATGTGATTGGCGCTGGAAAATCTTCTCTTCGATTGTACCTGTCCCCATGAACCTGTACACGAAGCAGTCCTTTTTCTGGCCATCGCGCCACACACGAGCAAGAGCCTGCTGGTCAGCTGCCGGATTCCAATCCGGGTCAAACAGAACAAGACGATTGGCACCGATCAAGTTGATACCACAGCCACCGGCCTTGCTGCTCAATAAGAAGACGAATTCTTCCCCGTTGGGATCGTTGAACTTGTCCACGAGCTTCTGTCGTTTGTTGACATTCATGGTGCCGTCGAGTCGAAGACATCCGTAATTGCGCGCACGGCATAGCTTCTCAAAGACATCCAAAGTCTGAGTGTAGTTGCTAATGAGCACAATCTTGTCGTTCGTGTCTTGACGGATCCGAGCAAGCATACGCTCTAGAACCGAAAATTTGCCAGAGTGCCATGATTTGACATCACGGTCGCGACCACGAGCCTCTTTGGGAACATAGTCATCAGGCCAGTACTTCTCGCTCCCTGGAAGGTCTTTCTCCAGGTCCAAAAGATCGGGATGATTGCACAGCTTCTTGAGAATGCCGATTGCTTTCAATGGCTGGCTGCCTTTGCCTCTTAATAGACTCTTGATGTCAGGGCTTTGAATGAAGTGGTTATAAAGATCTTTCTGGAATGGGGCAAGGTTGCAGAACACCACATGTTCATACTTGACAGGCAAGTATTTGGACAGGATGTCGTTCGTCCTTCGGATGATGAATTTCTTGACTAGCGACCCCAGCTCGGCATTGGCTTCTTCACCCTTTTGCTTGTCCGCGTCTGATCCGGCAGCATCGCGACCGCGGAGAATAGGCAGTTCAAATTTCTTCCGGAAGTCGGCCTTGGTCCCCAGGTAACCCGGATTTGCGAAATCCAGCAAGGCATAATACTCAGTGAGATCGTTCTGGATAGGTGTCCCTGACAGAATGACCCGTCGGTCAACATTCAACCCGGTCAATGCCATATATGTCTCGCTTTCGGAGTTCTTCAAGCGGTGTCCTTCATCACATAGCATCAACCCAATCTTAACGTCTTTGAGCTCCTCGATATTCAACCTGAGGGATTCATAGGACACGATCAGGACGGGTCTCGCAATGCCTCGGCCGGTGGCCATTGCCCATTGTTTCAATTGCATCGTGAGCTCTTCCTTCGTCGCCTTTCCGTCAATGGCAAAGGGGTTGATAGCGCCCTCACCGAGCCATTTAACAAGTTCATTTGCCCAGTTTTTCACCAAACTGGCGGGGCATGCAATGACACATTTCTGAATCGTGGATTTGCCGGCCTCCGGAGATTGCTTGAGTAATGTCCACATGAGGGTGATGCATTGTAGAGTCTTTCCCAAGCCCATTTCATCCGCCATAATGCAACCCTTGGCCTTCTCATCCACAAGACCTGTGGTACACCTGTATAAAAATTTGACTCCTTCTACCTGATGGGGTCGCAGTACTTTAGCCAGCCTGGGATCAATGACCACCGGTACTTTGGGTCTCTCGCCTTCTACTTGTTTCTTGATACCCAGTATTTCGGCCAGGCTTTTGTGCATGAGAGGGGTGTCAAGCTTCGGCTTTTCCTCCACTTGTTTGTCCGTAGGCTTCTCCTCAGGCTTCTCGTCTATAGTTGGGTCATAGAGGACGATTGCGAATTCTCCACTGGGGTCATGTAGAGGCTTATTGACGAAACCATGACCTCGGCGCATTCCCAGACTAGGCGCTGGTCGTGACGGATCGAAAGCATTCTTGTTGATCAAAGGGATGGAGAATCGAGCCCGAAACGTCGTTTCTTTATCCTTGACCTTGAAGATTGGAAACCGGTCTTTGAGAGTCACAGATTCTTCATCGAGCGTAAAACCACCACTTGTGTCTTCAGCCCCGCCGTCCACTTCGGCATAATTGACCTTCCTTCTCTTTCTGGCTGGCTCGCCTTTGGACTTGCGGGAATTGGCTGAACCGGGACATTTGAAAGGCTTTATGAGACGGTCGATGGCTGCAGGCGAATTGACACTGAGTCTACCAGCTTTTGCTGGGTGTATGTTTTCCTTGTCATGCTCAAGCGAGATGGATTTGGTGCGTATCCTGCGGCAAGGTTAGAATATGCAGGTTATAGAATGACACACACATACATGTTCGGACGACAGATCGCGGTAGAGCAACAGACACCGTGACTACCCTGAGTTGGGCCTGGCAGACACTCTTGATATCTACGTGAACAACAATGGTGGCAGTGGTAGAAATCCCCAGTCACGGTTGTACGCGTCGTGAAGGTGACGCGCGTTCACGTGCAACTTCTCGGCCATTAGGACTTGCCTTGGGAGGACCCCACGAACAACCACCGCGGCCAACGAAATACCTCCGAGAGGCCACCAAGACCACCTCACAAGACTCGACGCAAACAATTTTCAAGATAAAGACAGCTGGGCAACGCTCTGATACCCCTTTTCATACCAAATAATGCGTGGCTATCACATCAATCTGGAGGAGTGTCGTTTATCTAAAGATCATTGTCTGCAAACCATGATATAAATCCAAAGAATCACAACCGACCTCGATTTAAGGAGCTCGCCTATCTTCTTACTGCGGGCTCAAGATGTCGGCAGACTTCTGGGCTAGCTATATCTCTGGGGCATTGGGGATATTGGTGGGTAATCGCCTCGATGTCCTAAAGGTCGCCGCTCAAGCAGGCACTAGTGGTGTCGTTGCAGAACCGACGCTGCAGCATGACTCGAATCGACGTCTTCAGAGAGTCACAGCATTGTTCAGAGGAGCTGCCGCCCCCATTCTAGGCTATGGCGCATTGAACTCCATACTCTTCATGACATACAACCGGTCCCTGAAGTTGATGGATCCAAGCATATTTGACTACACAAAGCTGGCTGGCGTTGACTTGAGCAAGATTTGGGCGGCGGGCGCGATTGGAGGACTCGCTACATTTGTCGTCTCCGCGCCGTCAGAGCTCATAAAATGCAGGGCCCAGCTTATCGTGGGTGGACAAGGTTCTTCATATGGAGTATTTAAAGAAATATGGAAATATGGTGGGCTTCGAGGGCTCTACTACGGAGGCACAATCACTGCTGTTCGAGATGCCGTGGGATACGGCTGGTATTTTTGGTCGTACGAGCTAACCAAGCGATTGCTTCTTTCTCGACAAGCCGATCCATTCGCTTCTCCTACTGCTGCAGAAGTTCTAATAAGTGGCGGTATTGCCGGAGTCGTCACCTGGGTGTCCATCTATCCTCTGGATATCATCAAAACCCGTCTCCAGACGCAGCCTTCCCCAGCCACAGAGTGCCAAAGGCTTCTTCCGGGAGCCAACACAGCGTCTGCCCAAGCGAAGACAAGTTTGACCATCGCTCGGGACATTTGGCAAACCTCCGGAATGGGCGGCTTCTATCGGGGAATTGGCATATGTAGTTTGAGAGCGTTCATCGTGAATGCAGTCCAGGTAGGCCGCTCTCTGGTTCCATCATCATCCCCTACTAACCTTTAATAGTGGTATGCATACGAAAGGATCATGATCTTTCTGGGGAACCACCAGTGATTAGACCGAGATGTAAACAGTGAAAACCAAACGGTGTCAGTTCAGTTGGCTCGACATGCTCATTCAAGCGGGTTACTTCTGACAAGAGTCGTGTCTTTTGCGATTTTGCATGCGCATAGTTTCGTCATAAAGTCGTCCACATGAGGACATCGAGGATTCTAGTGCATCTGGATCAATACAGCTCACATCTCAATGTTCCATGTCTTTCATAGTCTCGTTGTCTGGAGCGTTTTCCGAGGAATGAGAGTGACGTTTGTCTGTGCCCAAGCCTACGGCTGCATCTGCAAGTCTTTGAGTGTGTACCTCCTCCTTGAGCATTCGGACACTATTCCACAGTCAGGTTGCTTCATGGCGTCAAAGGATGGCATGTACCGTCTCTTGTGATTCTTCCCTCTCCTATGCTCGTTCAGATTGTGGCTGTCTGAGAAATATTTGGCGCATTCGACACAATAGAAGGCGCCCAGTCCGGGCAGGTCCTCGGAGGCTTTAAGACCCTTGTGTAGAGCAAGATGTCGGGGTGATTTGAGGTCGGCTTTGACTTGATCAAGGTCGCTGTAATGTAAAGGTTAGAGGATAACTATTTCAAGGGCATTTGTACGGACCGGGTGCGACGTTTGGTCTTGGTGCGTTTGATACTACCCATGATATTCCCCGAAGAACAATCCGCAAGGCTTTCGGCTTGAGTTTTCCGCTGGCGAGAAATACTAAACCATAGACATGCGAGGCTGTTTTTGGAGCGCACAGGCGGGATGGCAATGTTTGTGGGCCGACAATTCTTTTGGAAGCGGCCAGAGCAACTTCTGCGGCAAAGGCTTGCCCAACACAGTGGGTGCCAAGCCTCCGCCAACAAAAGCGCGAGATGCCGACTGGGTCAAGGTAGCGGCATCTGCCGGGGCTCTTCTCGGACTGGCTCATCCAACCAATCATTTGGCCCCTAAATCTGGGACAATGCATTGGATCTCATGTTGTCTTCTCTGGGCTCGCCTCACCAGCTTGGAAAACATGACATACCCTGCTCTTCCGATTACGCCAGATTGAGCGCTACGAGACCTGATTAAGGCGGTCAAAGATGCTGGGAAACATCATCGAGAGCTCTTCCATATATGGAACTCTTCAAGGGGGCTTGAAAAAAGAAAAGAGTGGTAACGAGGGGGCTTTCCCGCGCATCTGGTTCGACGAGGTAATTACATCATTCTTGATTGGCTAGACGAAAGGTCTGCAGGCCAGAAGAAAAATTGCAGGCTTGAGGCATTTGCTCGGAGCATGGGGTAGCGGTGGAGCACATTGCCTAGGTAGGAGCTTCGGAATGCTTTAGGCGCTGGTTTGTTGTGCGGCAAGATCGGTCTGGTGGAAGCATGGTATATATCTAGGGCTAAGGGTATTTGTTTGAATTTCTGGAACTCTCTTCGAGTAAAAAAAATATTTTGCAGCCCATCGTTGCGTAGATGAGGAGGAGAAGTGGTTGCTGCAGCCATTGACCATTGCCGCAGTTGACGTCGTCCCAGGCTTATCGTGCCTTTTGCCCTCTTTGCCCGAGGCTGATTGGCGCTGCACCTTTGCACCCTGGGAGCTTGCAACAACTCCTCCCACCCATCCACATCTCCGTCCACAGCTTCTTTTAATTCTTTTCACCTCTCCACTCTCTCTTGATCCTGTTGCCAGCTCTACACCGAGCTTGGGATTTCTGTACCTGTTACTAGAGATCAAGTATTGTCGCCAACATGATGTCCACGAGGCCTCTGGGCCGCCTGGCCTCCCGCATGGTAAGTGCTCTGCTTGCATCATAGCACTGTTCGCAACCTTTTCAGTTGCTGCAACGACACAATTATTGCTTTGCTTCTTGCTATTGCCCATAAGCGTTTGCTGACATGTATCTCGAAAATAGGGTGCCAAAGTTGGTTCTGTTAGTCCTCTACCCATCTCGACCCGGGAGCAACAACAGCTCGCTAACAGTCCAAAACAGCCCTTGCGAGTATCCAGAATGGGTTATGCTACCGTCTCAGACGATCCGCTCAGCAAAAATAAGTTATATCTTGCACAAGTGGTTTATTCGAGGATCCTAACAGCCCGATACAGGTTGAGATGACCAACTGGGAGAAAGGTCACTACATCAACTACAAGTGAGTGTCCGGCGCTACTGGAAGTGGTTGATAAAAACATGCCAGCGGCGCTGACAACTTCTATAGGAAGATGTCGGAGAACCTAGCAATCGTCCGCAGCAGACTTAACCGCCCTCTCACATATGCTGAGAAGGTTCTGTACTCACATTTGGACGACCCGCACGGACAAGACCTCGAACGTGGAGTTTCCTACCTCAAGCTCAGACCTGATCGAGTAGCATGTCAAGATGCTACCGCCCAGATGGCTATTATGCAGTTCATGTCCGCTGGCATGCCCTCAGTCGCTACGCCGACCACCGTCCACTGCGATCATTTGATTGAAGCCCAGGTTGGTGGAGACAAGGATCTGGAAAGAGCCAAGGATATCAACAAGGAGGTCTACGATTTCCTGTCGACTGCTTGTGCCAAATACAACATCGGCTTCTGGCGTCCTGGCTCGGGTATAATCCATCAGCTGCTGCTTGAAAATTATGCCTTCCCAGGCGGTCTAATGATCGGAACTGACTCCCACACTCCCAATGCTGGTGGTCTCGGCATGATTGCAATCGGTGTCGGTGGAGCCGACGCTGTCGATGTCATGGCAAACTTGCCGTGGGAATTGAAGGCCCCAAAGATGATCGGAGTCAAGTTGACCGGTGAACTATCTGGATGGACTGCTCCAAAGGGTGAGACGACCCAGCTCAAGTCATTTGCATTTGACTAAACTCTCACTTTCATTTGACTAAACTCTCATTTTCATTTGACTCAACTCTCATTTTCATTTGACTCAACTCTCATTTTCATCTGACTAAACTCTCATTTGCATTTGACTAAACTTTGACTGCAGATATCATTCTCAAGGTTGCAGGTATCTTGACAGTCAAAGGTGGTACTGGGTGAGTTCTCATTGTCTCTGAGCTCTTGTTTTACTGAGACAGGTTCTGATGTGACTGTAGGGCAATTGTTGAATATCATGGTGAGTGTACTTTCTGTCCATTGCAGACTTGAGTTTTTTGCCGGCTTGATGTGTCCATACATCATACCTTTCTGGACGATTACACCCCCAGTCACAACACACCAACTTGGAGCGTGTTGCGGTACGCAGAGAGCCTCATTCTGGTCCTTCTGGTCCTCCTTCTGGCCCTCCTTCTGGTCCTCCTTCTGGTCCTCCTTGTGGTCCTTCTTCTGGTCCTCCTTCTGGCCCTCCTTCTGGTCCTCCTTTGGGTCGTATCCTTACTAGAAGTCCTTCCGGGCCACCCATCTAGAAGTCCTTCTAGCTCACACTCCCGGAAGTCGTGGCTTATCCGCCTGGAAGTTCTTCTGAACCACCTACCCAGAAGTTCTCCTGAACCACCTACCTAGAAGTTCTTCTGAACCACCTACCCAGAAGTTCTTCTGAACCACCTACCTAGAAGTCCTTCTGGCTCACTGGCCTGGAAGTAACTTTGAGCCACCTTCCTGAAAGTTCTTCTGGCGCACCTTCCTCCCGAGCATGGTGTTCCTACCCTCGCAATCTCTCCAGGCAGGGAGTTGCCCGCCTCCCTCAGGTTCGTCTCCGGGAGGAAGGCGCCTCCCACTTTTCGGAATGAATATCTTCTGGCATTCTGGACTTATCGTCCTGAGATACACACCACACCCTGAACCACCTTGGAATTGTGGAAGCACTTCAAACACCTTGACGACAGGCACCCTCAGCCATATTCATCGAGTCACTCGTTTCAGCATCACCCTCTGTCTCTGGCAAAAAACCGACCGCGTCAGAATCATGACTTTCAAGGCACCAAACATGCTCGGTCTGGCCGTGCTGCTCACATGGGCTTGCTTGAGTTCAACCGCTCATCCTCACCCGCTCTTCAAAAAGTTTCTTCCAAGCCAGTCCGCTATCGAAATACTCTTCAGCGCTCTCTCAATCTCCTTTGCTCCTGGCCTCTTCGAAGTCCTGCAAGCCTCTGGTCCTCCGACAGTCGAATGGTTCATGCAACTTCCTACACACTGTGAAAAAGTTTGGGCCATCTATCTTCTCGTCCTATGGAAGCTGGGTTGCATGCCACGAGTCTACCTCGGGTCGGGCACAGAAGCTGACAGTGGTGTCACTGTTCGGTTCAAGCAATACGACAAGTTAATCTGGCTTCCCTCACACGTCCAGGAGTCTTTGGGCGAGGGCTATCAGATTGTGCATAAAGGTGTACTGGTCTGGATGCCCATTCCCCCCCCTGCAGAGGTTCCCGTCCTCCGGCTACTCTTCGTCTGTTTAGAAGGTGCCCTTACTTTTGCTTTGCGGGCCCTCAGCAAGAGGGCAAACTACACTGCCGCATTGGCTGATTTGTGCCCCTGGGATCGAAACTCACTCGAGTACGAAGGCCTGTGCTCACACAATCCCTTGGTCGACCCTGTGAAAGGCCAGTTTGATCTCACTCCTGGTGAGAGGGAAGAGCATGCACAGGAATTGAAAGATAGAAAGTACATCTTGAACCTGGAAGGCCGTGAGAGACGGAAGGCAGAAGATCCTGAAGCATACCGACTGGAAGCCAACCGACACAGGGCTAACTTCGTCAAGAACAATCCTGAAAGTGCCAAGAACTCCACTCAACGACACAAGGTCAAGGCTCGTGAAGAGAAGAGGTTTTACTGCAACGTGTGTCACGTTGCCTTTACCAATTCTACCAATCTGAGAAATCACCTGGCCACAAAAAGACATGAGAACAAAGTGAAGGATGCAAAGGGTACCCCGAGGTACATCAGCCCTACCATGAAGATACAGAACAGGATCAAGGCACAGAAGAGACACTACTGTGAGCTCTGCGATTTTGCTGCTCCCACACCTTTCGCCCTCAAGAAACACATCGACGGCAAGGCACACAAGAAAAAGCTGGCACTCGCGGAGGAAGCAGCCCAAGAGCCTATCTCTCCACAAGCCTTCCGCCAGCCAGAATCATCGTTGGTGATTCAACAGCAAGAGCCTCCAAAGGGCTTCCAGGAGCAATCCTCCCAGCAGAAGGACACTTCCCAGGCCAACTCCATCCGGAAGTACTTCCAGCTGGCCTAGGGCTGAAATCCTCTCACTGGACCAGAATCGACACGGTCGTTTTGTATCAAGTTCCTCATTGCATTATACGGTATCAGGCACCATACTACAGCATTACAAGTGCTCGGACTGATTCTCTCGCTTCGTCATATCACTTATTCTGGACCTGTCGACTACTTGAGGCTCCCACTCCCGGTCCCCACCACTCGCATTCCTCCCGGATTTATCTGCATCCCTTCTGGACTTTGCCATTGTGTTCTACATCTTTTTTTACAACAATACCATACCTCATTATGCTGACTTTCCAAGGCCCCGGCACCGAGAAGCTCTCCTGCACCGGCATGGGCACCATCGTAAGCACCACATAACATCGACCGCTCGGCGTTCTGCAATGCTGACTATATCCAGTGCAACATGGGTGCCGAGATCGGTGCAACGACTTCTCTCTTCCCCTTCAACGACCGCATGTACGATTACTTGGCTGCAACCAAACGCAGGCATATTGGTGACTTCGCTCGGGCGTACTCTGCTGAGCTTCACGAGGATGAGGGCGCCGAATACGATCAATTCATCGAACTCAACCTCTCTGAACTCGAGCCTCATATCAACGGTCCATTTACCCCAGATTTGGCCACTCCCATCTCCAAGTTCTCCCAGGCAGTCAAGGATAACAAGTGGCCCGAGGAGTTGAAGGTTGGACTGATCGGTTCTTGCACAAACTCTTCATATGGTGAGTCTTTGAAAAATTGTCCACTACTGGAGTGGTCATAGTTCTCTCAACAGCGACACAAGCTGACTAATGGTCGCAGAGGATATGAGCCGAGCAGCATCAATCGCTCAGGATGCTATGGATCATGGCATCAAGGCGAAGGCTTTGGTATGTATTTCCCACCAGCAGTCATGAGCCTCACCCTGTGATTATGACACTGTCCACTAACGATATGCAGTTCACTGTCACACCTGGTTCCGAGCAAATTCGCGCAACAATCGAGCGAGACGGCCAGCTCAAGACTCTTGAGGACTTTGGCGGCGTCATCCTCGCAAATGCCTGCGGCCCCTGCATTGGTCAATGGGACCGACGGGATGTCAAGAAGGGCGAGCCTAACTCGATTATCTCCTCCTACAACCGAAACTTCACCGGCCGCAATGATGCCAACCCTGCCACTCACTCGTTCGTCACGTCTCCAGATATGGTTGTAGCGATGACCATCGCAGGAAACCTCAATTTCAACCCCTTGACCGACACACTGAAGGACAAGGATGGAAAGGAGTTCAAGCTCAAGCCACCCAGTGGTGAGGGTCTACCCCGAAACGGATACGACCCGGGCCGTGACACATATCAAGCCCCTCCAGAGGAGCGTAGCCAGGTGGAAGTGAAAGTTTCTCCAACGTCCGACCGTCTGCAAATCTTGCAACCTTTCGAGGCATGGAACGGCAAAGATTTCGTCGACCTTCCCATCCTAATCAAGACCAAAGGCAAGACCACCACTGACCACATCTCGATGGCTGGTCCTTGGTTGAAGTACCGTGGTCATCTCGATAACATTTCCAACAACATGCTGATTGGTGCCATCAACGCTGCCAACGGTGAAGCCAACAAGGTCAAGAACTTCAAGACTGGCGAATGGGATGCCGTCCCTGCCACTGCTCGCTGGTATAAGAAGGAAAAGATCCCGTGGGTTGTCATTGGAGACTGGAACTACGGTGAGGGTTCTTCTCGAGAGCATGCTGCACTTGAACCCAGACATCTTGGCGGTATTGCCATCATCACCCGAAGCTTCGCCCGTATTCACGAGACCAACTTGAAGAAGCAAGGCATGCTACCCTTGACCTTTGCCAACCCCGAGGACTACGACAAGATCAACCCTGACGACAAGGTTGACTTGTTGATCACCGACCTGGCACCCGGCAAGCCCGTGACGATGAGAGTCCACCCCAAGGATGGCAAGGCATGGGATTGCGAATTGCAACACACATTCAACGAAGGCCAGATTGAATGGTTCAAGAACGGCAGTGCCCTGAACACTATGGCCAAGAAGCACGGTTCCCGCTAAATGCCGAATAAAATCTAAGACAATGAAATTCGTTGGGGGTGAAGACGGAACTATTGTACAGAATGCCAGTTGAATGCGGACACAACCGGCACGAGGAACGGGGTCAGTCCAAAAAAGCCCTCGAAAAATCGAGATGGAAGACTGAAAGTCGTGGGATCGAGGTCGGAAGGAAATCAATCGTGTATTGGGGGTTGGAATGTTGGCTGAATGGCAGCATGATATTATGTACTTTTCGTAGCGGAAATACCAATGCACACCAGTTTTCAAAGGTCACACATATGTACGCGTCTTATCGTGCTCTGTAGCAAGTCACCCAGTCACCCAGTCACCCAATCATCCAGTGCCCTGGACGAGGCTGTGTAGCTGCATTTGATGTCATGATGACCGACAAAAAGGCGCCTTGTGAACCTCGGCATGTGGAGAAAGAACCGATTAACAATTGCTCGACGGTGATTGCGATATGCGCTGTATCTTCTGTCACTGGTTACATATATTAAGACGAATCCCTACTCTCGGTATTCAGGCTACCTTCCCAAAGGCCCTCTAGTTCAAGACCTCCGTTTTTTGCGGCGAACTTGTGTGTACGAACGAGACGGCATCCACAGGGTGAGATGGCGTGAATACATGTACCCGAGATAGACCACGACCCTCTCTGTTCCATCAACCTCTCTACTCTCTTCTCGGCTATCAGCGTACTCTGTCAATCACTCTACCGAACAGACCCGACATACAGATCCGGGTGCTTCGAGGCTGCAGCTGCAGATACCAGCCTGTCCCAGAACTCACCTTCGCATCAACATCTCTCGGGAGGGGAAAAAAGCCAGTCATCATAAATAGTGCTGATTGGGGCCAGCAACGAGAGAAATCTCCCACAACCTCGATTACCCCCCAAAAACACGATTGGTTATATGCGCAGACTTCCCACCGGACTGAGACACTTGCACCACAGCACAAATCCTGCATTTCGAAGCCCAAGACGTGTCATGGCACAAGCTCTACCAGAACTCCCAGATTGGGAGCAGATCAGCACGAATATCGTCCGCATCCTGGGCGGGAATCCAAGCAAGGTCAGTCAGTTGGGTGCTCTCGAATTGTCCCTGTCGGGAATCCTGTCATCCTGAGGGGTTCTCTCTCCTTTTTTGGGTGTCTGTCCGTGGAAGAGGTGGTGGTTCCTTGTCATTGTTTCTATCTGGCGTTGGAAAAGGGACAACGCCATGGAGGGGAAGAAAGGAGGAAAGGTCCTCGCCATGTGATCAATTGCCTCCTCTTTTAGTATGCGTATGCTGACCCGATGGTCCCAAACAGTTCACCCTGCAAGGCACAAATACATATCTGCTCGGGACGGGACCCCGTCGCATACTAATCGACACGGGCGCGGGCGAGAAGAAATGGATCGAGACGCTACGAACCGTGCTGACCGCTCAAGAGACACCCATCAGTATCTCGACGTGTCTACTGACGCACTGGCACCACGACCACCTGGGCGGGGTCAAGGACCTTGAGGAGCTGTGCGAAGAACTCAACCAGCCCGGGGAAGCGGTCAAGGTCTACAAGAACCAACCGACGTGGAACCCCGACGGACTGATCGACCCTTCGCGCGTGCACGACATCCAAGACGGCCAGACCTTTTCGACCCCTCTCGCGGAAACGTCGACGCCGTTTGAGATCCAAGCCATCCACACGCCAGGACACGCCAAAGACCACATGGTCTTCCAGATCACCTCGTCGCCAGACCCGACGGAGGTCGGGGCACTGTTCACGGCGGACAACGTGCTGGGCCACGGCACGGCCGTGTTTGAAGATCTGCACCTGTACCTGCAGACGCTGGACCTGATGAAGCGGCGGGTCGTCGACGCGGTGGCCGCGCAGAAAGCATCCAGCGACAGCAACATCAAACGAGCCTTCCCGGGCCACGGGGCCGTCATCTCCGACGCCGTCGCCAAGATCGACGAGTACGTCGCGCACCGACGCATGCGCGAGGAAGAGGCCCTCAACGTGCTCAAACACGGGACGACGACGGTGCCCCACGGTGCGGAGCCGCTCGTGCACGACACCATCACGCGGGTCGGCGACGGCGACGACGAGGACGTCATCGGCGGCGGCGAGACCGTGCTGGGCAAGGAGTGGGAGAGCATCGAGATGGTCAAGGTCATCTACCGCCACTACCCGGAGAACTTGTGGCAGCCGGCCGAGAATGGCTTGTTGATGGTGCTGGAGAAACTGCGCCGGGACGGCAAGGTCGTCAAGACGAAGGAGGGGAGGTGGCGGGTGAGTGAGAAGGCCATTCTTTAGCAGATTCTTTAGAAGTGATGGTGATCTCGATAGCGGCGATACGTAGACTTGGGCAAAGGAAGAGCCGTTTCTATCCATCTCCTCTCTCTCTCTCTCTCTCTCTCCCTCTTCCTTTTTTTTCGGTCATTTCTACTTTCTCTCCCGCCCCAACAGCCATCCATTTCCCATTCTACCATATTTACCATGTTCCCCATGCTCCCATGCATGCATGCATGATTGATCGCTTGCGTATAACAAGAGCAGTCAAGACTCAAGAGACCGGTGTCCACCCCATCCCACCATCCCCCCTTCCCTTTTCAAGTAATTCGAGCAGGAAAACCCCAGAGTCAGAGGGTGGTAAAGTCGTTTGCGTGATGGCCGACAATGCTGGGACGAAAGGGATTGCGAAAGAAGAGAAATGGGTCAAGAGAGGGGAGGGGGGGGGGGGGGGGCGCAAACGTATCGATCAAATGTACCTCGGACCTCGTATGTGGTTCAACTTACATTCTGTATACGAGGGATATACACATGCACATGTATAGAGTGAAGGACAAGACGTGTAGATCTAAACGGCACGGCTGGGCATCTATCTATCTATTGATCTTTATCTTTTTCAGAAATGAACACATCATGCCATGGTATCACCACGACCTTTTTGTCGTGCTTTTCTATATAAATCTACCTTTCTCAATTTCTTATGGAGCGGGAGAGACTAGGACACGTAGAGATGGAGAAGAGAAAATACTCGTTATTAATATATACTATTTTGGGTCTATGTCTCTCTGTTTCTACATCCCTCGTACAGTAAGTACCATCCATCTATACCAACCCCTTTTGCTTGAGAAACTCGGTCAAGCCCCGACCTACGCCCTCTGGGCTCGGTTTGGCAGCACAGACGTCCGGGTCGAAGCCGTACTTGTTCCTGAGATGGTCGCGTGTCGTGGGACCGATGGTGACGATAACGTACCTCTGCGAATGCGCGTGCGCGTGCTGCTGCGAGGTGGCGGACTGGCGATGGCCGAGATTATCCTCTGCCCACCTCGTCTTTGCGAACTCAGTCAGTGTTTGACTTTCGTCAATGTACCCCAGTGACCGAAGCATCGATTCGCACCCTTGGGGACTGAATACCACAATGACAATGGCACCTGCCACCGCGGTCTTTTGTGCATCGGCACCTTGGTGGCATGAGGCGATCCTCCTTTGAAAGTCGTTTGAGAACGACTCCATCACCACCGTGGTGTAGACCTCGACCTCGTCCACCTGAATCCGCTCGTCCGGCGCCAACTTACCTTGTCTGTCCATCAACGTGTTGGGGATGATGTCTCGCCTCTGCTCCCCGACGAGGAAGAGGAGGGGCTTCTTTTGCAGCCGCGCGTCGCCTTTGTCCACCCTCTCCCCCTGTGGAGGTCCAATGAGCGGAGTGAAGGGTAGTCTCGGCGCATCGTAGAAGGTATAGAGTCTCCGCGAGTGCAGGGCGTTGTAGTGCGACAGGATATACTGGGCAAGTTTCTCCCCGTTGCCCGAGTCTTCGCCTAACACGGAGGGGCGCAGGCTGGCAAAGGGCGACGACTCGAGGGATGAGGACTCGGCGACGAGCGTCTTCAGGGCGCGCGAGGTGGCGGGTCCAACCGTGTAGAGGGGAAACGCAAAGTCATCATCCAAGAGACTTGCGGAGGCGCATGTGCTGTCGTGGTGGTCTGTCGTGGTGTTGGACGTCTGGCGTCACATCAGCCCAAAAGTTCTCACACACACATACGCACATCATCAACCCCTCCTCGAAAACAAAGTCCCCTCTTTGGTCTTTGGGGGCCGTAGGAGGAAACAGACCGTACCAATGCCCGGGTCCCGACCTGAAGCATTCTCGCCTCCAGGTTCATCATCGTCCCCTGGTCGCTCGGCACTTCGCTCGACCCTCTTGACCACGTCGGCCCAAGCCTCGACCGCCCGCTGACTAGTGAAGATCATGCCGCCATACTGCTTATCCAGCTTCCCCCTCTTCAGCAGCTCCTCTAGCCGCCCTAGATTCTTGGTGTTTGCCCGGTGTTCTAGGATGGGGACGAATTCAGGGAGGAAGATGGGACCGGCGTGGTCCTCGCTGCTGCTGCCGTTGCTGCTGGAGGATGCAGCAGCAAAGTATTCCTCGTAAGCATCATGGGGTTGGGATCGCGTCTTGAGGAGGAATACGGGGATGGTCAGCGAGGGTGTCATAGTTCCATCAAGCGAGGCCGAGTCGGAAGAGTCAAGCCGAAGTCCCTGAGACCCGAGGGGTTGGTGTTGCAGGAGCGAGGAATGAGGCGGAGTTCGTGAGGCGCGGAAGACGGGCAGGTGGGAAGGTTTCGACAGAAGGGCGGGGGGAGAAGAAGAAGTTTCTCGGTCATGGATAGTTTATTTACAAGTCAAGAATAAGTGCCAATGTAAAACGAATTCGGCTCCAGCATTAGACACACATGATTCCACATACATGGTACGCCATACGACGCCATAGCGGGACAAATATAGTTGCTCTCGCAGATCAAACTTGGGGGCTGCAAGGTCGAAACACCTCGCTTGAGGCATTTCTGCAATAACTGAAACCAGAAGCTCAGGCGCTACCCCTCGCCCCGGTAGGTGGCTGAGTTCGCAGGTTCGCAGGGTGGCCGGGTGGATAGGGCTCGAAGGGCTCTACTTGGTATAGGGCTATCCTGGGGGTGCCTGGCCGCAGCCTTGCAAGGCTGTTGTCCAGGAACGGGCAATATTGCCGTATCGTGCCAGACGTGCTAACTAGAACCATGCTGGTGGACAGAAATGCTTGTATCAGTAGTTCTTCTTTGCTCCCTCCTATCCAAAAGGGATAAAGATGGTCAAACGCCGAACTACTGCCAACTTACTCGCCTCAACCTGAGCCGTTTCCGCGCTTACGTCCGGTCAAGGGTTGTTTAGTACACACCACCCACCACCCACCACCCACCAAAAGGCTGCCTGTCTCACGTCCCAGATGCGTTGTTCTCTTCCCCAAGGTCACCGCTACTGCTGCTGATTCCACTGTCCAGACTCACAACACAAATTCCCCGAAGGACAAGGCTCCCCTTCCGATTTCGTGATCCTTGGGGCGAACGGTTCCAGAACAGAGCCCAGACAAACGGCCTACTCTGTACGAGTCATGGAAGGAAACGTTTATCAGACTGCAGGCAGCCTTGCGGTTCCGCCAGTCGTCCTATTTCCAAAGTGTCGTGGGTGATGATTTGGCCCAAAAATGCCTCCACAACAGCGTGGGCAGACATATGTAACTTGTATGTCAGCGCGTCCGGGGGGATGTCTCTCTCCTTGTATATCTCAATTAGTCGGCCTCAGATACAAGCAGGAGAGGGTTATATGATCAGGAGTGTATTCGCTCTGCAAATATGTCAAGACTGGCCGACGTTTGATAGGGCCGAGAATTCCAGCGAGGGCGTGGCTGCGTGTCTAGCTCCCCCACCCACACCCAGAGCAAAGTCTCCACAGGTTCGAAGACGTATTTGGCTGAAAATAGAGGGAGACTTCCAGCTGCAGACCGCCCACAAGAGACTCTGCTCTGGTGACGTTGTCGTTGATTCCTAGGGATAAAATCTTTTGTTGGTGGGACAGCCTAACGGAGAAGCAGCAGCTCAGTGGATATGAGCCATGTCCCAAGCCTCGTACAGCCGGTTGACATTTGACAGGTCGCACGACAGCAAGGTAGGAAGGCTGCCTTCCCACAGCGGGGCACAGAGCAGGCACAGAGCAGGCACAGAGCAGGCACAGAGCAGGCACAGAGCAGGCACAGAGCAGGCACAGAGCAGGCACAGAGATGGAACAATTCTTTGAACAAGTCTTTCCCACTTCGGCAGAGCTTCAAGTCGCACATCCGAACAGCTAAGCCAGTAGGCGAAAGCGGGAAAGACTTCCCAGCGAAAGTTTGTGGGCCACAGGGGTCCTCGATCGGGACACGGGCCTTGAGGGTCAGGTGATGTTCGAATCGAAGGAATGGGCCGGTGGCATTGGATCAGACACAGATTAATGGCGGCCTTGATATCAGCCCTCAAATTGCGTGACCCCCAAAAGTTGACATGCTGCCGTCAACCGTCCACCGTCATGGATCTCAATCGTTGCTCTAGATGGCGGGGGACCAGAAGCATCCGTCTCGTATTTGTTTGTCCCCTTATGCATGTCTTAATTTAGTTTCCGAGGTAGCAAACATGCTGCGTGCTGGGATCGGCGCCATTCTGCCCAATGTCCAAACAGGCTGGAGAAAAAAAGTCGATGCAAACCTTGGTTCAAGGTTTGTCGATGCCTTGTGGGCGAAGCGGCCTGTGACACGGCAGCTGTCATATTGGCCTTGAAAAGTGGTCGGGCCAACCATTGTGGGAGTGAGTGACCATCACCGACAGAAGGCTTAGGGGACCCTGGCTGACAATCGGAGGTATATCGACCAACAGTCCACGTACCCAACCCTCCTGGGCGTGGTGGATGGGTGCTGTGTAGTCTGAGCCAGCGCATGAAACAAGGACAGAACTTGTGCCTTTGTGTTTGCTGCAGCCCGGCGTTTCAAATGGCCCATCTCCCAGCGGGCTCAGCACTATGGCCCTATCAGCCAGGGCCCTCGTCATGGTGAATTGAAATTTTGGTACATGCACTTGGGGACCCTTGGGATTCCCAACAGGCCTGGCACACACTCATTTACCCCCATGCAACAAGGCGACGCATGGGGGAATATGCGGCATGACGGACGTCGTCCGGTTTGGCGTTGCCAGAGTTCCACACAATAACCAGCCACGAGGAGCCCTTGCTCAAGACGGTAACACGCAGAACATGTCAAACTGGCTAACCTCTTTGCCTGTGTGCAATGCAAGGGCATATTTGACTTCAGGCTTGACGAAGCCGTCGCGGGACGAATCCATCAACCCTTTGCTGATGCGCCGGAAGCTCCGAATTTGAAAACCATCTTGGCCAGAAGACCAACTGAAAAAAGCCCAGGGCTTAATGCATTGCTGAATTGAACCACATGTGGAGATCAAGCCGGTGTTTGCTTTCTTCTTGCGCCTAGACTTTGGCGTTCAGCTGCTTTGCAATATATATGATGCGCTCAAGCAACTTCACGTTGTCAAGTCTGTGACACTCGCTCGCTGTGCTCACAGACTCGTCACCACATCGTGCACATATATTTCGGGCCCTTTTTTACCACCTCTCCTTCCTCACTGCCAGAATAATGCCTCAAAGACAACCGGTAGGACCGAGAGCTCCCAAGGATGACTTCATGCGGGCTCTGGGGTTGAGCACCACCGATCCTCGCCATGAGGGATACTACCGCGCTATGAGAGTATGTTGGCATGGGATACCCGGGAGGGAAATGGTCCAAACCGCAGCGTCCATGGGGGCTGATCCACTGAAACAGGACGAGGCCATTGCCGTGTACAGCAAACTGAACTCGGATCGAACAAGTCTGATAGACGAGAAAAGAAACGACTCATCTACAACGCCTCCCTTCTTTTGGCACCACATACGCCTGGACCGTCGCCGGCAAGCAATCATCGACACCTGGCAACAAGCGAAACCCGGCACTGTCCAACGAACACTCTTCGATCTAGGCGCAACGACTGGGGAGCACGCTCCGAATTGGGTGACCCTATGGCTGCTGTACAGTGTCTTCCGCTCTCGGGATATTCGCAACAACCGAAATCGGCGAGCTGGTGAAGGTGGTAGCACTGGAGGTAAGGACAATCCTGCTCCTCTCGGCGCATTGGACACTGAGTCGTTTCTGTATGATCCAGGTCAAAGTTCAGGTTCCAACGATTCGCAGATATTCGACCCGGCCCGAGACAAATATGTTCGACGCTGACGAGAACCAAGAGGCGGGAAGGCCTTGTAATACTGTTTGATCCCTTTTGTATGATTCCATGGCAGGCCACTGGGCAGTTATTAATGGCGTTTAATCGTCTTCGTCTTCATCATCCTGGTTCTTCTTCGACTTGCCCTTGTTCCCGTTTTTGCGCTCTTCTCGCAGGGCTTTAACCACGGCTTCGTCGTGCTCGTCCTTTGTTTCGTCCCATTCCACGTCATATTCAGAAGCGACCGCCTTGATCTCTCGCCTGAGGGCGTTGGCCTCCTCGATCAGTGCCTCCCACTTCTGGGGGTCGAAGCCTTTGAGCTCATACAAACGGCTCTGCCGGCGGCTGATGGTGAGGTTCATCGCCGAACGGTATGACACCTCGCGATTGTGGTACAGGAACCACATATAACCGCCAATAATGCTTCCCATTCCGACAAGATACGTCACAGGTTCCATGACATCCCATCCGAGGTCGGTTTCGAACGTCAAGCGGTACACCACATACCAATATCCTATCAAAATCCCACATCCGCCGAGGGCGATCCTTTGTCCGCTTTTGTGGGCGGCCACATCACATTCATGCTTGACAGCAGCCAAGTCGGCAATCTTCTTTGAGATCCTGCGAAGCCTCTGTCGCAGGTAGAAGGTTCTGTCGTTGAAAGACGGCACTGCGACTTTGATTGTTCTTGGGTTGCCTTCGATTTCGACTTCAAATTCTTTTGCTCTGGCGGCATCCCTGATAAAATCACCAATCTCCGTCGAAGCACTCCATCTTACAAAGTCACCCGAGTCCTCGCCCTTCCCTTCTCTGCCTGCTCCGCTGTAGCTCTGAACACCACCTTCCCCAAGTGGACCCTTGCGCTGATCCTCTTCTTGCTCCTCTGGGGTCTTGTTCTTCGGCATGATCTCATCACCTTCAGCTTCCATGGCGCGGAAGGATATTGACGGCAATCGATCGTCACCCTTCTCGGTTTTGACTCTGGGCAATTCCGCTTGAATCAACCGTTCAAGGTAAGACAGCGGTTGTTGTGGGTGGACAAGAAGTGCAAGGGGAGCGATGTTTTTCCTGTCGTCATTGTGGTCGGATGTCGTCAAGGGTAGAACAAGCTTGAGCAGTCGTGAAGGGGTGGTGAGCAGCTTCCCTACGATCTAGTCAGTATGAACGCCGGGGACAGATGCTTGAGCTCTACCGACCTTTGGTCATGGCGCCAGCAGAGCGTTGTCTCCGTACAGGAGGTTCTTCCGCTCCTTGACGGTGCCATGGTGTACGCTGCTGCTTTTCTTCATCGTTGGCCAGAGCATTGTCGAATTCTGCGAGGGCATCATCGACTCCCTGCTGATTGAGATCTTTTGCCTTTTGCTCGTGAGAGACACTTCTGCAGCCGAGTGGGGTGATGGCAGACGTGCCCAAGGAAGGTATCGTACGAGCACTGAGACATGAACCTCGATCAAGAACAGGGGGTCGAAGATTGAGCGCACGATGGACGTGGGTCAATGGTTTAACCGACGCGAGTCGCCCAAGCGTCAACGCAACCCGCATTGTTCAGCGGCGTCTCTCACGGGGCTATAAAGTTCCTCGAAGTAGCATTGGCATTGTGTCGGTCCTAGTGGTGCTCTCCAGTTGTTCTCGCACGGTCTACAACGCCTGGGGATGTTGTTTGTGAAGAAGAAACAGGGGCAAACGCAGACTTCACGCATTTCAAGGATTCAGCATCACCTGGTGGCATGGTGATCAACAAAACGACGTCATGGGCTTGTTGAAGCTTCCAGCCACTGTGGCCAGGGCCGGAACAGTTCTGCCCCAATCATCTCTTCTAGGCACCTCGGTACCAACTTTAGAGGTGGCTGAGGCCTGGGCAGCCCCGATAAGGATCTACATACCCGTATCTGGAGAAGGTTGTGAACTTTTTGGCATATGGCGAACTTGCCAGCGACGTGCAATAATATGCGATGCTGTATCTTCTTGATTCATCTAGAAGAAGTGTTAATAACGGTAGGTTTTTGCATTGTGGTGTCTTCATAGGTCTTCATGCACCCACCTCACCTGTCCTGCTGTTCGCAGTCACCCATTGCCCGCAGGACATCTTATGGGGGATCCTTCTCAAGCTGTTGTTCTATGCCACCTTTTCCTTGGTCGCCATTGTCTCGTTTCTTTCAATCAGCCCACGATGATATGACAGTCACCGAGATTGCCTTCGATCGCTGAAATCCTATCGATAAGAACTTTTCGGCAAATGAGGCATGCGGGTTCGTTGGGCCAACGACCGAGTCGGGAGGTAGTGTCTGAGGGACTTTGACAAGGTCATCTCTCCGTTCTGGATTGATGCACATGTGTCGAGTGATTGGTCAGAAGCAACGCCGGAACATCACGGAGTGGGTCGCGAGGGGAAGGAAGAATACGGTCAATACAAAAATACAAATGGCTAGCCACATATATGAGTTAAGTGGATAAGGCGGTGAGCTGGATATCTGAATGTCTTGCATCTGGTTTTCTGCACGATATTATACTTACTGACCTACTATGGCAGCAGCGTGGTTCGCTAGGCTGCCCTTGTCTGACATACTGGTCGTTGTGTTTCCAGCATGCCACTATGCCACCATGCCTGGTTGGCTCTCTTCCATGTTTGATCTCCGACATTCTCCTCCTCTCCTTTTCTTTCCGCTACTTCTCAATCTACTGCACCCTCTAATGGCTTCACAACCAAGCTCTTCCTGGCGTTCGACCGGGAACAGACCGGAATAAAGGTACCCGAGGGTGAACCAAATCCAACCTTTACAAGACAGTCAACATGGGGGAAAAGTGTCATGATATTTTTGCTGTTCTCTGAAAAAAATTCTAGCATGAAGAGCGTTCACACATCCTTCCGGGCAAAAGACTTTGGTCGATTAAGACCTCTCTCAAAAGCTCACCACCTGCTCTTCAAGCCGCCATGCTTCAAAGGGAGGGATAACAAGCTCAAAAGGCTCACAGAACCACACAGTTGCCTGCAAAATTCTTTATCTAACCACGGGCCAACCGTCACAGGAAAATGCGTAGTCGTGTCATCGTGAATCATGGAAAAGGAAAGATTTGGCCCCTCCCTCAAACAGAAAAGGTCATGTTTTCGTCAATTCGTTAGGTTCGTGCACAAACACCTGGAACAAGCCGGTTTTGCAAGACATTACCCGCCCGGAGACAAGGGCATGGTGAACTTTTTTCAGGGCCGTCCGCTGACGCTCAGTAGCGTGGCAGGGCTCGTCTGCTGTATTGGCCAGCGTCCGACGAGTAGACAACTCGGCGAGATGGAGACGTGCGCATCGGGCTCGAGAGGCGAGACTCGCTCCAATCAGGGCTGCTTCCTCCGCTTCGGCTTCCAGCGCTGTCGGAATCGCCATAACGGCACTCCATTCGAGCGGTGTCGGCTCCGCCCCTGCGGCTATGACGACCAGAGCCAACAGGCACTGGATTGCCCTGTATCACGCCCCCATGGGCAAATCCAGTCGGATACATGCCGTCATTGGCAGAGAAGTTGCGGCAGATGTTGAAGGCGATCAACGCAGCATTTTCTTTGGCCGAGCTCTCCGACGAATGATACGTAGGAGTTTGGTATTCACGGTTGTTCACTCGAACAACACATCGATACCCAGAGGGACTATAGGATGTTTGGTAAGCAGGCTCGGGCCATCGCCGGCGCTGACATAGACCTGAGGAGGAGGGCGTCAGCGTCTGAGAACAGCAGAGAGAAAGAGAGAGATGGGGCTTTCAAGCAGTCCAAAGTCGACGAACAAAAAACTCCCGGAGACTTTCCCCGGCTGTCCGTATGGGCACACGTCTGCAAGGCTGGCCGACCCCTGAGCGACCAATATAGTGTGGAGAGTAAACATGGAGAGGCCAACATGATGTGGACACTTCAAGCCAGGAACAAAATGGGCAGGCCAGGTATCGAAACCAAAACCGAAAGAACGAGGTGTTGAATGAGACATACTGGCCAGGTAGACGGTGTGTAGCATGTCTGCTTCAATTTGAGGTTGCTTTCAGCGTCTTGGAAGCCCAATGGACCGTGCATCCAGTTGTTGAACGAGAATGAAGAGAGGAGAAAACCACCAAACAAGGTCAAGATATTGACAACAAACGAGCACTTATCAACCAGTATCACCGCTCACAAGGTGTCGCCTGGCTTGAAGGCAAGGCGGATTTCGCAGGGCAAATGTAGTCAGGTAGCAGCAAATTTGAGGGCATCGACATTGCTGGGCCCTTTTACAGGTGAATTGTGGCGGCATTCCCACATATTTCATGCTCTGGATAACAAGAGAACCCTGCACTGACAGCAAAGCAAGCGCGAAGACAGCGGCACTTGCGTGGGGCATGCAGAAAGATTCCACAGTGGCCAAACGGTTTTGAGTGAGCGGCTGGGTATTGGTCCATCCCGGGAGGATAGCATTTTTCATGCTCTTCTGCCATCGTAATGTGTTGATGTGTTGGCACTCTCTGCAGCCAGTTAACGGAAGCTTGAAGTCGGGCCCATTCTTAGCATGATTCCTCTTTGTTGGGGCTTCTGCAGATCGAGATTGATTGGCGACAAGCTGCCTTGAAGATTCCCCGCGCATCCCGTCGAATGAGAAAGTTGCCCATGTACCAGAGCTACTCGTGGCCTGTCGTGGTCCTTTTCGGCTCTGACTTGCGCTTGATTCTCCGCTTATATGCGCGACCGGTGAGGCTTGCATAGAGACATGTTTTTTGGGAACCGACCTGGACCCGGGAGGGGGCAGATCTTCTGCTCTGAGTCTCGACCAAAGATCTCCTGTTGACGCAATCAGCGTTATGCAGAGACAGCTGGCAAGTGGGGAATGGTGTTCTGACGATGCAGGGCCTTAATCTCGGCTGGGTGGTTTGCCCGTCGTACTAAAGACCACAAGAAAATCCTCAATGAAACTTTCAGAGAAGGTGAGCACACATACTTCTTTGATAGGCAGGTTAGCCGCCAACGGGGAGAGGAAAAGACATACAAGTACAAGAAGTAGGGGAAATATGCCTCGGTGCTAGGGCGTTGAAACTTTGACATGCACCATTATGAGATCAACATTGTCCACAAACAGTTCACCTCGCCACCATCTTGCTTTTACGACCTGTCAAGCTTGCGGACTGTTCGACTTAGGCAGGTTGACGAAAGCGTGTGCTGCGGTGGACCATGGACCGCCCTCAGGTCGTAGAGCTCCGATGCATGGATGCGTTGTCATATCAAATGCAGGTTTTCAGGTATTTGGGACTGGGTTGCTGTCGGGCGAACCTCGCATCAGACTCTGGGTATGATGTTTCATCGTCGACATGGTAGATGATCTGGAGATGGAGCAAATGGCTGTCAGCCCCTAACTCTCTGGCTTGGACGAGCGACGAATTTAAGAGAAGTCGAAGACATTGAGGCGGCTGCGGGTGGCTCAGACGCTTCAACGGGTCAAGAGAAGGTTCTTTCACATCTGCAAGAAAGGGACGCCCTGAAAACACAAATGCATCTGACCAACCTTAGTTGGGAACTGCATGAACGGCAGCACGTCTCCCCACTAGAGGCTATCCAGTGCGGGCCTGCATCCGGGTGTAGTAGCAATGCTAACTTTTCAACAAGGGTGGATGAGTTTCATGGCAAAGCAGTCGATAAAAGTCTCGAGGTCGTGGCGGCCAAGTCGTAAAGTTTCAGTGACCAATGAAGCGACCAAGAACCCATGTGAAACGCAGAATAGGACGAGGAGGGAGAGGAGAGAAGAGAAATTCAATAAAGGTCCGAGTTTCGAGAAAGAGTTGATTGTCTCCACGAGATCGCCGCATGTGGCATAGAGTTTAATAAAGAACCTGGTGTGTGTCGGGCGCCAGCATAACGGGCAGTCCCTCGTACTGCGTCGAGCATATCTGCTTTCCAGGGTTCCCCTTGACACCTGTTGCGTCAACTTCGGCATTGTCCGACTGCGTTATTTTGCGCCTAGAACCTCGAGAGGCCTGGCCAAAGACCACTCCCGCATCGCCTTTGCTGATTCATGGGGAATCACAAAGACCGGGTGGATGGGCTTGACTCCCGTTCCCGCTTCAAAGACCTTACTGGAATCGCTCTCGCTAGGGATTTGGGCTTCCGAGAACTGCCAGGAAAAGGCTGGACCAAATGGATCGTCGCTGTGGGAGGTTCGATAGGAATGGGAGTGTTCGACTATGCTGAGCCCAGAGAGATTGTAACAAGTGTGGTACGAGTCTGGCCTCCTGTGCAGGGCTGTTAGTATGTATGCTTGAAATGAGCTCTGGGGACAACTGACTTTGATGGTTTGTCCCTAAGTCCACCATCACTTGCTTGACAACAGCATAGGATATACCTTGCCAACCCTTCACCACTGTACAAATTGTCGCTCACGTCCCTCGCTCTCTCATCAGCCGAGTCTCGGGGACCGCTCACCGCCGCTTCTACCAGAGGCCAGCAACCACCCAGCCAGTGGCTATAACAACCATCCACCAGTTTATTTGTGCGGCCAGCAAACCCTCCTTCAGGCGCATATTGTCGGGAAGAGAGCCACCATACCAGT